AGAACGCTCAGCAATAACCCACCTTTATAGCCGACGTTCCGGGAAAGTGCGTTTCCCCTTTTCTTCACCTACGTGTATAGTACCCTAATACACGTATCTACCTCTAAAGGTACAACAGTCGCAGTAAACGGGATAGACGAGATCGTCCGCAAGCAACTCCTGCGAGATTAAACATCACCTTCATGATCATAACTTTAACGATACTTTGTATGATAAAGTATAGACGGTATTATAACGGAAAATGTCTTAATAACGAAAACATTGTATCTCCTTTTTTTCCTTTTTCTTCTTTTTTATCCTTTCTTCTCTCTTTCATTCTCCCTTTTTTCTTTTATTTTTAAACGTTTATTATTTTTATTTTAAAACACACTTAAAATGCAATCCTAATTTTACTTTGGCTCGCCGTTTATTGCTGATAAATAATAATGAGAGATAAAGTTCACAAACCAGTCGAGTAATGCTATTAAATGAATCATCGAGTTTCTTATCGATAGATACAAAAAATATCAATCAATTTTAATGAGATCACAAGTTTTTATAAGAATGTTCTTTTTATAATTATGTCGAAATAACAAAACAATCCGAGACAAGTTTGAAATATTGTTTTATTTTGGGATTGCATTTTTCAAATATTAACTTACATGATCCAAGGATATTTGTTACAATTTTGTGAAATATACACACGTCGTCGTTAAAAGTCCCATAACGTTTGAAAAATTTTATTTAACTAACTAAGCTAGTGTTTTATACACTTGTTTCTCAAATTGTCACTGCCTTGTACAGAAAATCTCTTCAGAGACGTGGTAAAAAAATGAAAATTCTCTTGTAGCTCGGCAGTTAAACGCTGTAAAAGTAAACACACGAAATAATTTGTTCTCTCGAATTATAAAATGTTGAACACAAAATTAACTTTATTACAATTAATCCACGCGATAGCGACAATCTCGAGGAAACTACGGAAATAACAAGCTCATATTTGTTTCGCTTATGTTAGCAAATTGCTTATTATGCACATTGTCATTTTTAAAACGATGATATTTAATATTCGATATATTCGATGTTTCAATTTTTTCATAGGAATTTTTTCAAAATAATTATATCTTTTCGTCTGTAATATTATGTAAAAAATATTTTAAGTAACGTTTTATAATCAATTCTTTTCTTTCAAAATTTCTTTTAAGCATATCAATCAGTTTACATTTTTTTGACTGAAAAATTATCGTGCAGAAATTTTTAATCAATTTTGATTTCTTTTTATTTTATTTCACGTTTTTTTATCTTTGATACAAGTGTAAAGTTTCACACATTCTCTATTTGACGTAATATTGTCCCGTTAATTTCCGTATCTTTCACCTAATATTATTGAAACGAGTTTTCAACCAAGGCACACTGTCTACGGTGATAATCAAGTAAATTAACATACTTGCATAAATTAACAATCTTCAAAATGTTATCTTAGAATAAAATCTTGTAATTTTATAAAATTCTCTCGTTTGTTTCATATTATTGGTGTAATAAATTTTAATTAAGTATCACAGTTCTCCATTGTTTAATTGATTTTTGCGAGGGCGTTAAGTATAATAACAAAGGAAAAAAAATATTGTACATAATATAAAAGTATCATAAATTCAGAAATCAAAGCTATTCATTTAAATTACAAAATATTTATATAATTACTAGCATCGAAACGTTTGATTAATTCTTAGGATTCTCAGAAATATTAAGAAAAACTATTGAAATAAATATTCATAATAATCAGGTTGTGAACACTATGCAATGACAAACTTCTTTATTACAAATATCTTTTAATTTCATGAATTTGATTCATTATTTTCTTGGCAATTTATCAATTGATAATTTTTCAACTCTATTACTATACTTACTTTTAGTAGATATTTAAATTATAACTTTGTTTAGTTCATCGATCCGTTGAAATATGAAAACAAATTGTGCAATTTTATCGGCTAATGTTTACTGACTTCCACACAAGAAAAAGAATAGAAAGAAGAAGAAGAAGAAGGAAAAAAAAATTACAACAATGTAACTTCGAGATCAGAATAGTTCAGTACATAGCAAATATACGGTTACACATACTAACATCTGTGGGAAGACGAACTATACGGAAATTGTAGAAGTAACGTATCCCACGGCGACGCATGATCGCGAAGTATGCTAAACACGTAACACGCTCGAGAATAGGAAGGAAGGACAAGTAATAGCAAAAAACATGGTGAAAAACGAAGAAAGATAATCATTGTATCAAGGAGATATTCACACACATACGCATACGTGTAATATCAAGAAACGCAGTTTTGATCTGCAATATCTCACGTTTAGCATGAACGTAAACTCGGTGAACGAGTGAAATCATACGGAAAATTAAAAAACATGACCTATTTACGTATCTATTATATTTTCTTTTTTATTTTTCTTCTCTCTTACCATACTTGTCGCGAGAATGATTGCAAATTGTCGTGCGCATGAGCGAGCCTTTTTGTCAGGTTCGATTAATATTCCCGATACGTCGACGATATCAAACATGATTTTGCAGACGCGTCGTACTTAAAGCGTTAAACAGGATTTAACGTTTATGTGCAGGTCGCATATCGCGTAACAACGTTACACTTTGTACCTTTCCCTCGTCCCAAACCCCTCCTCACCCCTCTTCCTTTCTCACTCTCTCTCTCTCTCTCTCTCTCTCTCTCTCTCTCCCTTGTGCTCTTGCTCTTTCTCTTTAATGTAATCGAATATAACCGACAAATTTAATTCAATATTGCATGTTTGTAATGTCAATAGTGATATTGTTTTTTGAAAAATTTACGTCATTTTGCATTCTTCGATTTGATCGATGTACTACTTGTTTTATATACTTATTAATGAATCTATTTTATATGTATGTATGTGTATGTAATGTCAATGCCCTTAGAGTAAATATACATATATATATATATTTTATGTACATACATTTAAACTGGTTATTTTTTTTATCTTTTTATCAATGTAATGGAATACATAATTAACGATTTAAAATTAGGTAAGAAACAAGCTTCCATAAATGAGAAAGCGAAATCGCGTTACTGGTTCTTTCGTAATCGAAGCTACGTGAGGTTCTTGAGCATTTCTCAATGTTATAACTTTAAGAATTTATAACATTCGATCGATTACTTTTTGTATCGACGCGTACGAAATATTTATTTGTACGTGATATGCGTAGATTTTTGTTTATCCGTATCCATCTGTTTGTTTGATTTATTTGGAATATTTAAAAGAGAAATTAAAATATACGATTTAAAAAGCGGCTCTAGAAAGACCTTGAATTTAGATTTTTCTTTAAACACGAAGAAAGAGAATTACAAATTTTAGGATTAAATCGATATAATATGGCAATATATGTTAGTATCATATCGTAAGTACTATTGTTTATTCGAATCCTTATTTTATCGACGGTACTTCAACGCGTTCTAATTTACCTCTCTCGATTATGAGCATTCGTGATACGCCTGCGTTTTGTATGTGACATCATTTATAAATTTATTATTTTAACCAAAACATTTCTTTTATTTTTTTAATATCACATTTCAAGTTATTCTTAGCCAATACGCGCGTGATATTATTTATAAATTCCATTTTTAAATATATATCATAAATATAAGAAATATAAGTAACGTCATTTAGGGTCTGTGTAAGATTTTAAATTCAAGAAAAAGAAAAAAGAAGCTTTATCGTTTTTGTATACAGGAAAATAATTGAAAATGATTTGGAAGATATTAGATATTTTTTTCTTTAGAATTATTATTTTCTAAATATAAAAAATGTGTTCTCACATATTAGAAATTGTCTTAAGTGTATTTTTTATTTTGCATTTGTCAGATAAGATATAAAACCTTTTTGAATATATTTGGAAAGGTTTTATATCTTATTTTAGTAACATATATTGTATTGAACGGAAAGATAAACAATATTAAAAATGAAAGTTAAGAAGAAGAGGAATAAACTGCGTAGTAATTATCAATAATAGTTATCGGTTCTTATTGTATAATAGCTTACTGTATTCTCCTAATCTTATTAATGTGCCATTTATTGTAAATTGTATTTTTATCTTTGCTTTTTTTTTTATTATCATTTGAATTATTATTACTAACACATAACTTATCATTGCATTAAGCTATTATGAAAGTTAATATGCGTGTATATTTTTGTGCGAGAGGATAAATTTAAAGAAACGTATTGGTTTAGGAATATGAAAGTGTTACGTTAATACTTACTGTAAATTCTAAGACAAACGTATTGTCAGAACTGATGAATTGAAAGATATTCAAAAACTAAAAAATTAACAGACAGAGTTTGTTGATATTAAAACGTGTACAAAGATAGCCAGTCCAATTCCATTTGTTAAGTACTGATTTATTTGGAAATTATCAAATTCTTGTTCGTTTTTATTTCAATGGTAGCCTGTCTTATAGTGCATTTCATTTGCGTAAGTAAAAGATATCGTAATGAAAGAATGCAAAAGATCATTCTATATCAAGCAGATTTAAAGAATAATCTATTATGAAAGGTCTCCAGATTAAAATTGAATAAACATAGCATCAGTCAAACATCAAATTGATTGATAGAATTGACCATCTTATTGATTATATTGCTATTAAATATGTAATAAAAATGATTGTACCAGTTTCTTCTCTCATTATTAGATCTTATTTCACTTTGAATAGTTGAGAAACGAGATATTATTAATCAAGATTGAAGATTAGGTATCTCTTAAACATTGATTTATAATTTAGCATAAAATATGAAATGGACAATATAATATTATTTTCTAAATATTATCGTATTTGAATGAATTCTTATCAATTCCACACGTTGCTATTGAAGTGTTTCGTTCGCGAGTATTCTATGACGTTCTACAACAGTCTCTTTTTCTATCCCGTAGCATCTCTCTTTCTCTTTCTCTCTCTCTTTTTCTGTCGAGACAACTCATGCATACACGTTCCGAGGATATTCGCTTTAGTCGAGTCTTGCTTTTCGTCGGCGCGCCAACAGTACGCGCGTTCTCGTTGATTCAAGAAATGTCGCGCGACGTTGACAAAGGTACAATTCAAACATGCATAAAAGTAAACGTTAATTGTTGTTTCTTTTTTTGTATTTTAATGATTTATACGAAAATCTTGTAATTACGATTTATAGTTGATAGTTTGTCTTTTGTTGTTACATCTATGTGCGTTCGAAATTTGTTTGGTTCGCGGCGGGAATTTTTGAATTTATCATCTTACATCTTCGAGATTAAGTGTTTGACTACGTTTATCATCGTTCCTGTGTTATCATCGATCGATATTTAGAGTGATTATTATTAGATCTTATCTTTATTACCATTATTTGATGTTATTTTTGTCCTCCCTCGTCGTTCATCCTCATTTTCTAATTTCTAATGACACTTGTGTGACGTTTTACTTTCTAACCAAGTTAGAACGCTACACAGTGAAGTTCCTATTGAATTGGGCGCACTCATCTGTCGTAATATCGAAGTGTAGAACAGAAATTCTGCTCACGCTGTTTCTCGCTCTCACATAGCCACGGTGAAAGGCCTTTATCTTTCTGTTACGAGTGTTCGTTCAGTCGTTAAGTTAAGACGCAACTCCCAAGAATACTCGTTTTCCTTCGTGATATATTCAGCTGCAAAATGCCAACCAATTTACTATTATTTTACCACTATTTTAAATGCCGTCGGACGAGAAAAACTTCGTCCGAATTTCTTTTCCCAAATGGTTCTCTTTCAATTTCCTTTTCTTCTCGAGACAATTCTTATTGTTATAATTCGATTATCGTCTAACGATAGACGAGAAAACTATTCTCTACTCATCCCGACACACACATTATCTTCGGAAAATAGATATTTATCAGGGCTTTATATATATTCATATACTTATATTCAAACACTTTAATAATTGCACAATCGATTAATTGACCCATTATTTATATTTAGAATAATGATAAGCTTTGATCACTTTTTATCGAGTTATTCGATGTCTTGTAATAACTACCATCAATATATAATAAAACATTTATTTAGTTGTATTTTATTTATACTCATCGTGCAATCGTATGTTTTTGCAGTTACAACTTCAAAATTTCTTTGAATTCGAATGCTTTTTCGAAACGTGCAGCAAATATTTACTCGTAACGACGTAAGGGGAATAAAATAAAGAAAAAATAATGAATAGAAAAAGAAGTAAAAAAGAGAAAAATACATTTATTTGTTCTCTTCTTTTGAAACGAAAGTGATTTCAAGGTTTTTTTATCGTCCATGAGTCAAAGTGTAAATGTGATAATTGGGTATATAAATTTATTGACCCTGACATTGTATTAACACTACCTTAAATAAATTTATATACGCAGTTTTCAATCGTCAATTCACATTAAAGGCATAAATGGCATATCAAATTGTTATTGCTTCTTCGTGTCAACGATGAATCTTAAAGCAGGAACATCTTTTCCGTGTTTTAAATACCAACTGTACAAAAATATTTTCGTTTTCGTATTCATAGACTATAATCAATATTATACGTGACTATTGATTCAGATAGATTCATTACTTGGAATAGTTATCATCATCTGTGTGTGTGGCCTTTACGAACATTTTATTCCTTCGAAAGTTTTACAACGCAATTTGGCTGTCAGTCTTGGGTGTTTTTAAATTACACATTTAATTCAGTTTAATTTTATTTTTCTAAAATATGGATGCAATCAAATTAATGTTAATATTGCAATTGCGTTGCAATTATTCGATTAACTGAGCAGATTTAAATATGATTAATAGTAGATGGTGGAGATATCATTAATTTTCTATTCGTAATATGTGTTCTTCACACATTTTAATTATAAAATATTTAATCGATTTAAATTACAATGTTTTTAAACAGAAAGTGTATTGCAAGCAGTACGTGCATTGCAAATTTCTTCTATGTTATTTCATATCTTAGCTTTTTTTTCATATTAAAACGTTATTCAAACTTAAAGGAATATACAATTTGTTGAGGATGGTTTTGCATCACGGTTCACAGTTTTACTCTGTTTACCACAACATAATTACATAAATGATCATCGTAATTGTAGGAAATAACGAATGCAATTTATTATGCATTTAGACTCTCTGTATCTCATCAGATAAATTGTTTAGCGATATAATAGTCTTTTTTTGCAAAAATCTGATGCATAACTTAAAATTCTTGCAACATTCATTTAGTAGATCTATCAATAGCCGTCGGATATTCTATTTATATATTTAAAAATCAACTCAAGTGAGACAATAATAATAACATGATTTTTCCTTGTTAATATCTATACAAAATTTTATTATTCCAGATGCACCGGAATGTACAGAAAATGATAATTTGTTAGAAAATCGGAACGATCCTCGTATCGCGTGTTGTTCAGTCGTATTGTCAGACGAATCGAATCAAAGGTATAATCATAATCATCATCATCACCATCATCTTCATCACCATCAGCACAATTATCGACGTCAGCAACAACAAAGATATCAACAAGATAATTGTAAAAGTGTAGTAAGCTATGAGAAATCGAATGGAAAGGGGGGTGGTGGTCCAATCGGGATCGTTGATGGTTCGAGTCACGATGTCACCTCTTCAGCAACTCTTCCATCGATCGTCGTCAGCGACGTAGACGAGAACGAGGAGGATCCACCACCTTACAGTGCGATTGTGCCACCGGATCACGTCGGCTGGCCGTTCGTCTTCTCGACCCACATCCCGTATTCCGTGCACGCAACGCAACCCTGCATAACAGAGCCGCCTTTGGCGCCCTTCCAGACACTACCCCTAACTCAAGCATCGCCACCGCTACCTCTACCTCTACCACTACCACTACCACTACCACTACCACTCTCGCAATCGCAATCACTAGCATCAACATCACCAGTACAAGCAACATCCTCCCTCCAACAACCACTCACGGCAACGGCTCACCGAATCGAAAACCCTTCTTCCCTTGATCMCCCCMCCCCAAGCCTGTCCTTAACGCCTTACCGGTTTTTTAAGTTTCCCTCTCCTCGATCCATCATAGGCCACCATCGTTCTTCGAATTTCATTGATAATCCTCCTAACGGCAAACAGGTTCAACGAAAATCTAGAAGTGAGTTGACATTTAATATTTATCTTATCCGTTGTTCGTATATTAAACTCTTATGAGAGCTCAATAAACTTTCTTGAACTTAGCTTAATTCTAGCTCGAGTCCATTTTGTAATAATTTATACGCATTTAATCTAATTGTCGTCATGATTTTGTCTGATTAATAATACGTGACGTATGAACTTAGATAATATAACGAATGAAACATAACATTATTTCTGGTTCAATTGATTCGACAATCTATTTTTAACAAGTTTTTAGTTTTGGCAATAATAAAGAGAGTCCTTATCAAATTTTTATGATAAAATTGTTCTAATAGGGCAATGAATTATTTTCTAATCTCATTAATTCTGTTCATGCATAAAACGAATGGTCAATAAAAAAAATTGACCGATAAAATTATCCAAAAGAATTTGATTGAATTAATGTTCGTAGATAATTTAAAGTCACGTTTTCGCATGATAGTTTGAATTTAAAGAGAGAAAAAAAACAAAACAAAAACCATTTACACGATAACGAGATGATATTATCCTTTTATTTAAAATACTTATCTTTTTTTTTCTGAATATTGTTTCAGGATACGGAGGAATATTAATTGCAGCTGCTGTCATTGTTTTTCTAATGGTATTGTCCTTGTTGGTTAGATTTGTAATGGAAAGAAGTTTCTGGCGAAGGTGATAGCGTTAAATATAAAATAAAATATCGAAGCTAATAATCTCAGACAAAAAAATATGAAAAAAGAAAGAAAAAATCGTCAGATACTTTAATTTCGAATTTGCATTAATATTTCGAAGGTGAAAGAGCAATGTAAAATATACAATTAGAATCAGTATCATACGACACATGTACGTTGCAAGTTGTTTTTCTTTTGTTTTCTTTAAAATTTCTCATTTATCGCATTAAACTCGATCGAACACGCGAAATTCGAAACACATAATATTCATTTATTCATTTCGACGAACTTAAAAACAATATCGATTAAATATAATCAAACTGTACTCGTTTTGTGCTCGATTATTTTATCAACGAAGTCTCTATACTTATGAACGATGAATCATTTTTATTAATCAATGTGTCCGATAATATGAACTGTAAAGACGAAATCTATTTTAAATATATTTTGATATATATTTTTATTAAGAGATTGTATAATTACATTGTATAATTTACAAAAGTCTCTTTATCATAAACTATTTTAATAGGTATAATTAATTTTTATGCACGTATTACAATAATACTATTTTTATACACCGAGACTTGCTTTTATTTTTGGTAATATAAAAAATAATATCAAATTTATCTTTCCTTTCCTAATTCGTTGTTTGTCAATAGACAATAGTATCGAAACAGTTATTTCCTTTATTTCCTCCATTCCTCTAAAGTATTTGTATTTAAATTCAATGTGTAAAAGATTCCAAGTTTAAAAACATTTATTTTCTTCGATTTCGTTAGAATAGGAAGAGGAAATTGTTCTCCTTGATAAGACTCTTGGAACAAAACAATGCACTGGGACGAATGGAACGATCGGTTCCGGCTGCTTGCAGCTGTTAATTATTCGTTAAATGTGTTATCCATTTAAAGTGAAAAGTTCATCCTTTCTATATAAGTCTATTGGAAAGATAAGGAAATAAAGTCGTTGAATAAAAATGAGAAAGAGAGATAGCAATAGTTTAAGCAGAAACTAAATCACAAAAGAGAGATAAAAATAAGTTAATAAAAAGAAAAAAAAGTTAAGATAAAAGAATACAAAAATGCGCATAAATAGCGATACCAAGGATGACAAAATAGGACAGGGATAAAGGAGAGGGAGGGAGGATGAGAATTAGGGATTATAAAGGAAGAAGGGATGACAGTCATGTCTCAAGACAGTGAGTAGCTAGAAACCGTACAACGAAGAGACTGTAACTGTCTCAAGCGACGGCAAAAGGGTTGGAAACTCCTTTCATGTAAAGTAATAAACTACCGACAACCGTTGATAAACACCTAACTTACCACACCTTCTAACAATATCCTCATCCTTATCCTCTGTCATTTTTCTTTTTCTCAAAGGACAGAGATGAGCAAGAGAGTTATCCACGAGAGATTATAAAGTGTTGGTACGTTGAGTTCAAGACTTTAATGGCATTGGTAATTTACCAGAAATAAGGTTAAACAGTTTTAATTAAATCAGATGATCTAATGCACGTAATGTAATTCCTTAGTTCATACGCAACGTTGGTTTTTTCTTAGAAGGACACGAATTCATCCTTTTAAGAAACTTTTTCAAGTATACATTTTTACGTATATGGGTTGTTTACTTGCTATAGATTTTTTTATTTACTTGAATTTATTTACAGGGTGACCAACAAGACAATTGACATTACAATTCTTTACGTTTTTATTGATTAGCATAATAGTTAATTGATCAGAGTAACAAATTTTGTAATAATTAATGAGTTTGTTGATTTATAAATTTTTCTACATGGGATTTTGTTGATAAAGCAATATTTTATTATTGCATTGTATTTGTAAGTTTGATCTGTTTATAATATTACTGCAATTTTATTTGCTTCATGTATGTTTGCATTTAAACAGAGTGTCGCAAATGTTATCGGTAAGATGTTGCCAGTATTCTCTCTTCTTCGTGTAAAATTATTGAAAGAAAATATGAAATAATAAATGGTTAGTATTTATTCGGTTTAACATGAAAACAATTTTTTGGTAACAATTTTCGTCTGATAAACTTTTCTGATTTCATTTCTCACGAATGAAAATCCGAAGTCGTGATTTTTATTGACTCTAGAAATCAAGAAATTGATCTTTCTCGAACCATCAGTCATTGAGAAGTATGCTTATTAAACTATTACCGCATTCGCATTACATAATCTAAACTCAGGAACTACAGCTTCTGTAAACAGATTAGATGAACAAGGCTACCAATTTATTTTCATAAAAAGTTCAACTAAAGTAATACCGACTATGAATCCCATTAAAATTTCTAAATAACATATTGCATTTTCGAGCTAACACTTGTGCCAATATTCATTTTATTTAATGTCAAATATGTGCATAGATAATTTTCCTAGAAAATATAAAAAAAACAACCGTCGGGTGCATATACGTAAATGAATATTCGAAAGAGTTAAGACCGAGTTAACGTTTTACTTCTTAGCCAATAAATTGAGTAGAAAATCAAGACAAACAAGAAAAAAAAAACAAATAAGAATAATTTTAATAAGTGACTTGCAGAAATCACAAGAAATATGTTTTTTATTTTCTCCTATCCATTTTTTTTCTATACATTTTTACGTTAACGATTTCCGTGTACATGCGATAGTAGTATGAGATCGTTTACTGCACGGCTTATCTCGATTTATTCATGGATATAGTAGTGACCGTAAGGCGGACTGAATATATGTACTTTTCTCGGATATACATTCGAGTCTCGGCCATGGTACGTCAATTTCCAGTCGACCGAGCACTTTTTAAGGGCTAACCACGATTCAGTGGCAGGAGAGATGGACAATATATCGCAATATACAGGTACTTTCTCTTTCTCTCTCTCTCTCTCTCTCTCTCTATCTCTCTATCTTTTTCTCTTTATATTTTTAGTATATATGTATGTATATAAATATATGTGTATTTTAGCATACACGTGCGTGTGTCTGTGGGAGAATGGTAAACCTTTTCCAAGTCTTTTTTCCTTCTCTCTTTCTCTCTCTCTCTCTCATCCATCTATCTATTCGTTCATCTCTCTCCCTCTTTCTCTCTTTCCATAAGAGGCAGAGCAGCATAGGCAGCACGTTACATCATTCATACATGCCCGAATCTCATATCGGTTTCTGATCCTCCGGCTATCAACGGCCTTTGGAGGCCCTCAGCAAACCGCTTTCTCTTCTTCTCTTTATCTCTCTCTCTCTCTCTCTCTCTCTCTCTCTCTCTCTCTCTCTCTCTCACTCACTCTTTCTCGCTTTAATCCGCCGTGCTATGCTGTTCTCAGTTCTGCTATATCGTGCTATGTGTGCTCTTATACCGTTCTGTTTATTGTTACGTCGCGTTTATGCATGAACCAACGCGATTCCATTGTCAGGGGCACGTGACGAACCGTTTGTAAAAGGAACTCTGGAGGATGGGAGAAAAAGATAGAAAGAGAAAAGCTCTTGCCGGTCCTTTTTGTCCCTGCCCTGCCCTGTCTGTCTGTTCTCTTTCCACGGAAGTTGGTAACGGTAAAAATGGAAGCAGAGTTATTGGGCCAAAGCGGAAATCGATGGTTCGGTGATCCTCTACCCTTCCGTGTTCCGTATATCGTAACTTTCAGTTGGCCTCATTCAAAAAAAAAACAGATAGATTGATAGAAAAAGATATCTCATCTATGTATGAATAGATGTGTGCATGTTTTATGTATACATTCGTAAGAAAATGTTAAATGGATTCGGGTAGGAATTTGCACAAATGTTTCGACAATCGATATTCCTAATTCGCCAGCGTTTCTCAAACTTTTTCAATCACCGATCCGAATTTTATTTTTTTTTGTAACATCTGATTATTTTATTAAACTTAAGAAATGGAACATTTCAATATATACGTAAATAATTTTTGAATAACGATAATAATTTAAGTAGACATTTTTGTTTAGAAGAAAGTGCGAAACCAAACGGCAAAGGTTGTGGTGGGGTGTTAAGGAAAACGAGGAATAAGGGATAAGGGATTGCGAGGAGGACAGTAAACGGGCAGGAAACTCTTTGACGAGGTCGTTTCCGGACGAGTCTGATGTTTCTTGACTCTGATCCCAAACGCTATCGCAACAATTGGATAGCTCGAGCCCTTCCTTTCTATCCTACTCTTGCTGTGCGACCATGATAAGCTTCAGAAACAGGTCTTAATGGTTTCCCTCGCGATTACCAGTATCTATATCTCCGATTCATCCCTCCTCATCTCCTCTTCTATTCCTATTTCCTATGTTACTCCTTCTATACTATTGTATCATACGAAAGCTACGAAATCGAGAACATGGTTTTGCGAATATCGTCGATGACTATGACTACATTATGATTCGCTATTGTTAGAGATACCGCAGATGAAATAACTATGTCTTGAATTTACTTCTATTACTGATAACATTAATTCCTTTCGTATGTTAATAGTATACTTTGAACACACACATTTGTTGCAGTCGTCGAAATAAAATTAGGCACATTAGCGTACCTTATACTTACCTTTCAAATTATTTCATAAATAATATCGATAAATTATCATTAGTAACAAAATATAACTCAGTAATATACATTGGACAATTTAATATTATGTAATATTATATATAATAAGAAGAATTGCTATCTAATGATCATTAAAATATTGTAAGATTTTCTTTCAGGAATCTTTGTTGTTAAAAAGATTCGCTTTAAGATTTTTTTCAAGCTTTCCATTATCCTTTCTATACTATAAAATCTCACCAATGGGAGCCATTGTAAAACCTTCGCCAAGAGACTCGTTCGTAAACAACGAGATTATCGAAGTTCGATGACAATCTCGACGGCAAATCGAGTTTTCTTCTTTCTCTTTCTCTTTCACTTTGTATTCTTTACCTGTAGACTCTCAGTCTCTTTAATTTCAAAAGGAAACTAACGTACGAACGTTTGGATAGAAACTTTCGTTTTGTTGAAATCCAATAAGAATTACTAATTGGGAGTCTCCTCGTATTATATAAGTTACAATTGTAACGAATTTTTCAAATATTTTATTACCAATCACAACATTTAATTATTTCTTATATATATTGATATACTAAAACTTTTAGTTTCTTCGATGGATTTTGATATATGTACAGAAATATATGTGTAATATATCTTTGGGCAAACACAATCTGTAGAATCGGATTAGACTTCGAAGCTGGAGTCCTCAATCGCCAAACTAAACTGAGTTAAGCCCAGTATTAGTAGCAAAGCCTCGTTTATTAATTCAAACCAAGTTAACCCTCCGTGTTTCTCCTTGCAACCTCGAGGAAAATCAGCAGCGTGTGACGTTACTTTAGGTTAGTTACGGAATAGCTACATCTTAAGAGTTAATACCCGAAAAGGTGCGATAGCTATACTTGAGAAACGATTGATATAACATTTGTATAAAGATTAAGTAGAAAATGATAGAATAATTAAAAGAATGCTTATCTAAGATTTTGTAGATTAGTACAAATGTCTTCAATTTTACGTATATTTATGATTCTCGAACATTAACCTGGACAATTGTCAAATCAAAATCTACAAAATATACGAA